ATTAAATAAATACAAATAAATAAAAACTCAGAGCCAGGTGTGATGACTCACACCTCTAGTCTCAACACTTGGGAGGCTGAGGAAGGAGGATTGCTATAAGTTTGAGGTCAACCTGGACTACATAGTGAGTTCCAGACCAGCCTGGGCTACAGAGTGAAACCCTGTCTCAGACAAAAACAAAGGACAAAAAACTCAGAGTGTCTGGTGGTGTGTGCTGGGAGTGGTGCCATGAGCCTATAATCCAGCACTTGGGAGACAAGACTGGTGTGAATTATATGAGACTCTGTGTCAAAAAACTGAAAGTGGTCCGTGGAAATGACTCAGTGGGTAAAGCAGCAATCCCTGGAAACTATATGGGGGCACAAGAAAAGAGACTCTCACAAACTGTCCTCCGACCTCCTCTGTGGCATGCGTCTGCCCATGTGCATATACACAGACACACTTTAAAGCATTTTTGAAAGTGTTATGTAGTGCCAGGCATGGTGGCACATACTTTTAATCCCAGGACTTGGGAGGCAAAGAGAGTTCTCTGAATTTGAGGCCAGCCTGGTCTATATAGTGAGGTCCAGGCCAGTCAAGGATATATTGCAAGACCCTGTCTCAAAAATAAAATAAATAAATAAGGTGGCTGGAGAGATGGCTCAGTGGTTAAGATCACTGACTGCTTTTGCAGAGGACCTGGGTTTGATTCCCAGCACTCACAGGGCGGCTACCAACCATCCGTATCTCCAGTCACAGGGGATTACAACACCGGTGCACTTACATGCAGGCAATATACTCATACACACAAAATAAAATAATAGATGAAACATAGCAGAACAAGGGGTAGAGAGAAAAATATTGCATCCCTCAACTCTTGTCAGTGAAGCTCCCTTGTACAACAGCGTGTGATGCACACAGAAGGCCACAACTGGCCGAGTTTTGAAAATAAGACTGCAGAGTGTGTGGGTAGGACTCCTATAGCGAACCTCACCCACCCACGGCTCAGGGACCGTTGTGGAAAAGGGGGCAGAAAGATTGTAAGAGCCATGGCTGGTTCATGAACACAGGGAAGCAGAGACTGTCAGGTTACTGGAAGCTTGCACATGTGAATTTGTGGCAATAGTGGCATCGACCACAGGACCCATGCCAACTTAATTAAACGAGGGCCCAGAGGGGAGAAGAGAAATGGGTGGAAGGCTGGCCCTAGATTGAGAGCTATTGGAGACTGATTGTAGTGGGTGAGGGAGAGTATGTCTTTTTTCTTTTTCTTTTTCTTTTTTCCTTTTTTTTTTTTTTTTTTTACAGGATGCATCCTATTTGCCCCTTTGTATCCAAGCTTTAGTTGCTTTCTCTTTCAGGTAATGATCAAAAAGGGACTGCAGTAGGGAATCTTTCAAATTTCACATTGGGATAGGTTGGTCAATGAGGAGACAATACAGGCAGTAAGAGGTTGAAGAGGATGAAGACCAAGGAATTATTCCAAATCTCATGTTGAACGATTGCCCTAGTATGGCAGTGTCCTTGGACCAAAGTCACTATTTACTCCTCGGTATTTTGAATGAGTTCAATAAATCCTTAATTGACCTTCGATCCATCTTTTCATCA